CACGCCCTATTTGTCGAATCAACCAGTGGATTTCGTGAATCGAGAAGTTTGAAATACACCCGACAATCTACACGCCCTGGCGGCGCTGGATACTATACTCGCTTACGATCTATTAACAGTCTTCTCCCTCTGCTTCGCAATTCAGTCACTGTAGGTGGAGGTGGTAAAGAAGAACCTCTGGAACCCCTGGATATCTCTTGCCTCTGGATTTCACTCCTGCATTACGTGGTCATCTTAGCTCACTAATCAATTTGGGTCTTGCAAGCGTCTCTCAGAATGCGCCTGTAGTCAGCTTTGTGCATTATTACCAAGGACCAGGGGATACACCAATGTTCCAACAGGGACAGCGCCTCATCTGTTCAAATTTATATACACCTCTCTTGCCTGGAGGAGAGCGACGAGAGGCACTTACACCTAATGACAAGTACCAAGTTTCCACCAGCAAGCAGCTTATTATTTTGCAGTATCACTAGAAGCAGGAAGACACAGGGAACAACAGGCCTGGAAGTGGCGTATATACAGTGGGATGGGATGATAGTGAACTGTTGGCTGATATGAGGAATGACAGACTGGGCAAGCCATTTGGAGGCACACAGAAGATGAGTTTCAACCATCACTAAGGACTGAGATTGTTTCAAAGAAGGGGGGTTGAAGTAGAATCATATTAGGTTGTATATTTCTAGTTATCTAATACTACTGAAAACCCCTGCTGATCACAGTATAAACATATATTTATAGTATAAATCGCTCAGAATTCTATCACTATAAATCTCATAATTTAAATATCCATTTATTATATTTTATATTCTATGATCCTGGATAAATAAGCCCTTGGCCAAGTGCACAGGAGTTCTCTCCCAGCCACGCTATTTTCCGCTGAGATACTACAAAATGTATACACGACAAGGACAGCCAGTTGCTTCACAAAATGAGACTGTTTTCTTGTTCAAACAAATGATAAAGGCTCCCAGGTAGTCTTATCACTTAAGAAAAAGATAGAAGTCTAAAGATTCCTCCAAGATCTCAACGACAAACAACTGAGCTGCCAGCTCTACTGCCAGCTCTACTGATCCACTCCCAGCCACCGCTTGTCTGACTCGCTTCCCTTCGTCCCATCCATCCCTGCCTTGCGCACGATTGATACCTCGAGTTTTTTTTAATCTTCCCTCTCTTCTCCAGTAGTCATATTTCCAGCGACAGTTTTGTCCGAATTACACTTTCTCCTGCGGCGTTTCTGCGCATCATGCTGCCCATCTGGTAGATCGGCGTCACACGAGTCTTATCTATCTATTGGATCGAAAACAAAACAACAGCCGACGACATTTGATTTGTCTGTCAGACAAGCCGAGCTCTCAACCAGCTTGCTTGCTTGCAATCAAGAACAGTCTCTTCGGTGTCTTCGTTTTCTATCGAAGCATCCATTCTCGCCATGGGACCTCTCCCATCGTGGATCACCCCGCCACTCCAGCTCGCCGCGATCCCCTCGCAAGGCTCTTCTGATACACGCCCTCCTCCTCACTTCCTCAATCGCCGCTCCAGTACCATCTCCATACCAGCGACTTACGGCGGCCTCAACTCCGGCCCTGCACCGGGAACCGTTGCGGGGATCGTGATCGGCTCCGTCGCAGGATTCATCCTATTCATCTACCTCCTCTACCTCGTTATAGGACCCAAGGGACCCCCCGCCGTCGTTGATGAAGAGGTCGTCGTCCGTCGCGGCGGCGGCGGCGGCCACCCGCCCTCCCGCCGCAGCAGTCGAAGGCACAATCATAACGACGACACCGTCGTCGTTGTCGAGGACGAAATGAGCGAAGCCTCCGCCGGCGGCCGGTACAGACGTGAAGAGGATAGAATCGTGGTCGACGAGTCGGTCTCCTCGCACATACACACAGAAGACGAATTCGTCGAGGTCATCGAGCAGCATTCGTCGATCGCGTCACCAACGCCGCCACCGCGGAGACCTGGAGGGCGGTCGTATCGAAGGGTGGATCCGAATGAGTTCGGGGGGGGCGACTCAGAGCTGAGCAGTCACTATTAGGATTGAGAGGCTGGGGAATCAATATAAACTACCCCTGGGCCCAATAATAGCCTCCGATGACGAATGACGAGTCACGATATGATTGATACCTTTTCATGAACGGATGAAAGATATGATGGACTTCTCCTCATCGTGGAATCCTGATGAGCGAAACTCTACTTACCTACGCAGGGTTGCTCTGTGGGAGTACCCTCGATATACTTATGATACCCTGAGTTTCAATTCTCGATTGTTTTTCTTGTTGTTTTTCGCATACATTTGGTTTGTTTCGCATAATGCTTTGTCATCTTCTCTTGCCATCAGATGATTTAATATGCCTGGTCAGACTGGTTCTCTCCGTATGAGAGGGTTCCAGTTCAATGTACATATTTCAACATAACTAGCTAGCTTCTGTAAATATTGTACTACATTTGCATTTTTCTCTTTTACAGAATAGAATACAAGTTTCATTTCATTAAAAACAATACAAAAGCACACTGTGGACAGTGACAATCGGACTGACAAGACGCCTTATCCAAACTCAATCTCCCAACCGGTATTTCAAGGTCCATGTTGCGCCGCGACGAGTATCAATAATAAACAGAACCAACAAAAGGGAAAAAAGGTATTCAAAGAACGTGTGTTTCACCCAAAGAGACAAAGAGGGCCGAGGCTGCAGCGAATGGCCAAGGATAGAAGATTAATGTTGAGAGAAAGTCCGGCATCCACGTATGCGTTAGCCTTTTCCGCCGCGCCCATCAAGGCGCGTGGGATGCTGTCGAGTTCTTATATCCGCCCAGCGGTCTAAAACAAGATATCTAAACAGCAACAGCACGCCATAGCGGCCATTATACCCGCACAGATACCACCGCCGGCACCCATGCCTCGATCACCTCGATCGTCCGCGTAGTAGCCTTGTTGGGGCGGGGGGTATCCTTGCTGCTGGTAGTACATTCCTTGCGGGGGAGGAGCACCGTAGCCCTGCGGAGGGCCATACCCTGGCTGTGGAGGACCATATCCTGGCTGCGGCTGGCCGTACTGATTAGGCGGGTAGTATCCGTTCTGGTTATAATATTCCTGTCCTGGAGGTGGCGAGTTCACGGGCGTACCCTGATAAGCGTTCGGGTCGTGGATAGGCTGAGGATAGGAAGGGGGAGCGCCCTCCTAGAGAACGAGGCAATGTAAGCAAGCATATTCCTCTCGAAGAAAGAAGTCGCTAATCACCAATCCTTTAATGAGGCGAATAGACATACAGGTTTGTAGGACATGCTGGCGATAGTATTGCAAACAAGCGGCTTGCTGAGGCAAGGGAGGTGATTGATTGTAGGCAAACGAGAAGCTGGGCCAGTTTCCGGTTGGACGACAGGCGCAGACGAAGCTCTTTCGAGAGATATGCCTTTTATCCCGGTCAGATTAGCGTTTCGTGCGATCTATCGGACGACAATGAGAGTTAGAAGTGAAGGAGGATGGAGGAAAGTGAGGAGCCTGCGAGGAGGGGGACTCCGCAATAGGCAAAGGCCAAGGCTGGCGCTTCGCTCAACTCGACTCACCACTCACTGTTCACGTTTCACCCTATTCTGGCAGACGTCGATCGACCCTCAAACTGCAGGTGGTAGATCCCAAGGGACACTGTGGAAAAAGGAAATATGAAAAAGGAGCCTAAATGAGTTTCTAGATTTGCTTCTGATCGACCTCTTACTAACTTACTGGCCCAGGCCTCGGATCCACGCGGCCGATCCAGCATCTACCTAATTTCTATTACCCACTCATCACGACTGCCCGCACCGCCACGAAAATTCGTCATGACTGCGCCTCCGTTTGTATATCGGTGCGTTGTGCCGAACATTGATCATCATTGGTAGCTGGGAGAGGCGAGTTGGATAGTGTGTACACTACGGACTCCGGAGTATAGGGGTCCAGGGGGGTGGTCTGTGGTCGATCATTCCCACCCGTTATTATGGTGCCTAGTTACGGAGTACTCCGTAGAGGATGAAATCTATGGCAGTATCTTAGGACCCTTTCCTTGAGCTCTGGATACTCCCCTTGTCGCCTATATATAGCTTGGGGGCAAAAGTCATTCACCTGACGTACAGTTTTAGGTCTGAGACCTAACCACCGAATACAGCTGGTTCCTGCGAGCACACAAACGTGGCCAACGACAAGAATACAAAAAAGGGCGAACTCGTGGCTATGGAAATATTTCAACGGCAGAACACGTCGTATATACCCTTTTCAGCTCTGGAGCCTTGGCTGGGCTGACCTCAGGCATCACAAAATCCGCCAGGTCCAATAATAATCATGTTATAGGTCTTTTTCTGTGAAAGGAGCCAGAGGCCACTGTCACACCCGAACTCCTATCCCTATTCTCTACACTGTGCTCCCTCCATCACCCATCATGGTGTATCTATTTCCTCCGCGCTATGTTTACTTCCCCTCAAGGCCTACCCATACGTCGACCGTCATTCTCCTTCATGGCAGAGGCAGCAACGGACCTGAACTGGCCTCGGAGCTAGTCTCGTCCGTCACCTCGTCTGGGAAAACCATCTTCGAGCATTTCCCTTCATGCCGATGGGTTTTTCCTTCTGCCAGGCCGCGGTGGTCCAAACGTTTCCAAGAAACGCTAACGGAATGGTTCGACTCGGATACGTTGGAAGACTATAACCAGGAGAGCAATAGCAACAACAACAGCAGCATCGGCGGCAACGAACACACCCTCGCGGCGATGACCGAACTCGCACAGACCGTGGAGTACATTCTCCGCATTCTAAACGAAGAAGTCGTTCGGCTAGGAGGCAATCCCGAACGGGTGATTCTAGGCGGGCTGAGCCAAGGGATGGCGGTGGCGGTAATTGCATTGATCTGCGCACGGCAGAGCATTGGCGGGTTCATGGGGGTTATGGGTTGGCTTCCTCTTTCGACGAGGGTAGAAGCAGTTCTCAATCAGTTGCAATCGCAGGAGATGGCGACCGATGACCCTGTGCAGAGGGCGACGGTGAACTCGATCGAGAGAAGACTTGAAGATTCGAGACGGGTGTTTCTGCTTCAACAGGACGGGCAGTTACAGATTACACGGACACAACAGCACCAGCAGCACCAGCAGCACCAGCAGCACCAGCAATCGATACAACAGCAAGAGTATACGCCCCCCAAACCGATATCCCACACGCCCATCTTTCTCAGCCACGGCGAAGATGACCAATGGGTCGATGTGAGCTTGGGAGAAAAAGCCTCGGAGCTTCTCGTCCGCCTCGGCTTCGACAATCTCATATGGCGTACTTATTCCGGCGCCGAGGTAGAAGGTCACTGGATCAAGGAGCCGGAACAGTTCGACGCCATGGTGGAGTTCTTGCAGACGGTGCTGGGGTCCGAGTCTGAAGATGAACAGTCGTAGCATCCAGGTTAACCTTCTTTTGTCTTGCAAAAATAGATCTCTCAACTACATAAAATGAACTTTGGTAACTACTTGGGCTATAAGGTGAGATAGAAATAGAATTTATGCATCGCATGGACCTTCTCGCTCGAGAAAATATGACAAATTTATGTACCGCTACTTACAAGACTCTTTATGTATTCTGACCAGCCAAACTGTCTCCTTCTGCATTCCTTTTTGTGGATACTTTTTAAGTGAAGGGAAGAGAAAAAGGAAACAGAAAAATACCCCCCTTTTTCCCCAATAGCAAAAGTAGGAAAATGGAAAAAAAGTGGGAAAGGACATAATGCTGAAATGACCAGACAGACAGCAAAAGAACTACTGGAGAGGGGATTTCGCAGAGTTGAGAAGGATCAAGAAAACAAAATCCGACGAATTGCAGCCAGATTCACACTAAATATCAATATGCATATGGGCATCTACTGCATTAGGAGAAGACAGCGGGAAGGAATAATAAAAACAGACAATCATGGTGGATGCTGATGCATAGGTAGAGAAAAAAAGGGAGGGATGATGAGAGGAAGCCAAGAAAGAGAAGCTAAAGATAAAAGGAAAAGCTTCATGCATATGCTTATGCAACAGACAATTCATGTGTGCAGATGCATATATAAAGGCTCAGTTACCAGTGGGGTGTAATCATGCCTTCTCCTCCAGAGAGGCCTTCTGCAGCTCCTCGGAGGTAGCAGCAACGGCATCAGTCTCCTTGGCATCGGCGTCGCCATTGACACCGTTCTGTTCTTCGGACTCGGTCTTCTCAGCGGCGGCAGTCTCCTCGGCTTCCAGGCGAGCGATTTCTTCCTTAGCCTTCTTGATGTTCTGTGAGGAGGTGAAAGTCAGCAACTGTACTTCAACTATGGCGAGCAGGAAAGAAAATAGGGGTGGGGGGGGGGTAAACCACGTACCTCTTCGGTCTTGGAGGCCTGGTTAGACTTCCACTCGGTAATTTTAGCAGCCAGCTTCTCAATGACCGCAGGAACGTTGGACTGGTTCATCGGAGGGTCAACCTTGACCTTGGCGAAGTCTTCGATGACACCAAAGCTCAGATTGAACTTGGCACTCTCGGCGGGAGCAGCAGCGCCGGCGGCGGCGTTCTTCTTGCCCTTCTTTCCCTTCTTGCCACCGGTGCCCGCGAAGTAGTCCTCCTCGCGGTCCTCTTTCTTAAGGATCCGGAGACCCTTCATGTTCGAGTCGTCAACGGTACGGCCGATTTCGGCACGGAAGGCGCCAGACTCGCTCTTCTTGTCATCAAGACCCAGAGCGGCGAAGTCATAGGTGGGCTCGAAATGACGAATGAGACCCTGTGCAGTGAGGATCTCGTCGGTATAGGCCAATTGAGAGGCCTCTTCGAGCTTCTTGTCAGCGACCTTCTTCCTCTTCTCACGCTCAAAAGCATCGCGCTGAGCCTTCTGACGTTCACGACGGATCTTCCATGCCTTATCCTCGTACTCCTTGTAAGCCTTACGAGCCTTGTAGTAGTTGTCCTTCACCTCACGGATCGCGGACCACTTCTTCTGTTGCTCGGCATGAAGCTTGGTACGCTCATCACGCAGGGCATTGAGGCTCTTGAAAGCACTGTCCTGTTCGGCCTTGATGCTGTCAAGCTCCTTCTGGATCTCGGTGTACTTGTCGCTCAGGGCCTTTGCTTCTGGGTTGTCGAGAGACTTCTTCAGGTCAGCGATCTGAGCCTTGAGATCGTTGATGACCTTCTGGGCCTCGTCCAAGCCAGCGAAGTTCTTGCGCTGCTTGCGCAGGCTGGAGATATCAGCCAGCGCCTTGCGCTCGTCCACCAGGCGGAGAGTTCCCGAATCCACACTCTTTTCGAGGCGAGCGATCTCGCGGTCGACCTCCTCCACGTTCTTGAAGCTCATCCGGGTGCGCGAGTTGTTCTGCTCGGCGATCCGGGCCTTGAGGGTCGCATCGAGGGCATTAAGCTTTTCTTGCGTGCTCGTTCTGGAGGACTTGAAGCCAGACTGCTTCTGACGGATCGCGGAGAGCTCAGCCCGCAGCTCCTGCTGCCTCTTCGCCGCAGGCGAGTCTTGGTTGTTAGGGCGAGCACTTTCGATCTTGGCCTTCACCTGGTTCTATGGGGATGTTAATCGCTATCTGCGTTATAAAAGTTGAACAATCGAGGGGTGTCTTAGAGAGGGAAAAGGGGAGATTGAGGGGGGAGGGAGGGAAGAAAAGACAAATACACCGATTGTTAGGGCGGAAACCGAATCCGCCCCCGGGGGGGAATGGGGGGTACATACCAGCTTCTCCTGAACGGCAGTGTGTTCCTTCTCAGCATTGGCAAGATCGGCCTTGTATGCCTCCTCATCCGGCTTGGTAGGCCTGACGGTAGGCTCGCTAACGGGGGTAGAATCGGTCATCCTGAACAAGATGCAGACACGAGGGAGCAATTCGTGGATTAAGCTAGCGAATATAAAACGCTCTCGTCAACGGATTCCAAGACTGACCCCTGGAGGCTCCAGAGACCGACTCAATGACGAACGAAGACCGCGTGGTGGTCGATTGGACTTGTCGAGCAGAGAGAAAGAGGAGGAGAGGAGTCTTGTGCCCATATTTTTGTTCTGGCCTTTCTGGCCGTTTTGGCGGCGCTTACCACTATTGGCGGTGTTAGCGCAGGCCCGCCGATTTTTCGAGAACTTCACTTTACTTCGCTGTCACGGACCGCACTTTTCCTTTCTCTCCACCAACGAAGACCACGGAGTGACGGTGAACAGCCAGTGATCTGTGAGCAGCATTGGGGTTATTAATTTATTAACCATCTCCTTTCCCCCCTTCATTTCTGGACCGTCCGTGAGAGCGCCGCGGTGCGCCCGAATCGCCTCGACATGGACTCAGACTACGCAGGTGGCTCCGGAGAGGCCGACCGTGAGATTATTAGACTATGGCGCACATGGAGGACAGTGTTTGAGATGCTTCAGGATCGGGTAAGCTGGATCGTCTGATTGTCGTCCGCCGGGGGGAGGGGAGGAGGAGGCTAACTCGGTACGCCGTGTGACAGGGCTACGAAGTGACGGAAGATGAGGTTCAGATTTCGCTTTCTGAGTTCAGAGCGAAGTTCCAAGAACCAACAAGTGGCCTTCCCAGGTATGCAAATCGCGAGGTTCCTGTTCTTTCTTATCGCGTAGTCTTCTAGTGCTAATGTGATGTTGGTGTGTAGACGCGACCAGATGAAAATCAGCGCCCGCCCCACGGAAGCCATGCAGGCGAAATACACGGCTCTGCCCAGCAAATCCAACCCGAATCCCCAACCCGACTGCGGCACGATCTACGTCGAGTTCTGCGCGGACAGCAGTGGTGTGGGCACCAAGCAAGTCCGTACGTTCAACCACACGGTCGACGAGAATAACTTCCACAGCGGCATCTTCATCACGCAGACGCCCATTTCCCCCTCGGCCGTGCGTCTACTGAGCGGCATCCCAGGCCGCATCTGCGAGCACTTCCAGGAGCAAGATTTGCTGGTCAATATCACACGCCACGAACTGGTGCCCAAGCACGTACTGCTCAGCCCGGAGGAAAAAGCCCGGCTGCTGGAGCGCTATCGCCTGAAGGAGTCGCAGCTGCCTCGCATCCAAGTTTCGGATCCCGTGGCCAGATATCTCGGCTTGCGCCGCGGGCAGGTCGTCAAGATCATCCGCAAGAGTGAGACGGCTGGCCGGTATGCTAGTTACCGATGGGTCATCTGATTTGGGAGGGAGGGCTACTTCTCTGTCAATCAAGGCAAAAATCCGGAAAACATTGGGCAGGGGGCTGCATATCAGCTGCAAGAAAAACCGCTCTTCAGCTGTCAGACGGTCCTGACAGCATTGGGTCTCACCCAATCAAATTAATCATCATAGCTCTCTCGAAAATCCATATGGACGAGAGACGACGAAAAAAGCAAAAACACACAAAAACAAAAAAGATCAAAAGCGGCATTGTACGTACTACCGGCAGCATGGCGTAAGGGCGAACCGAGAATTATCGGCTGGGTGTTTCATATCAGACCTTGTTTCTGTGATATCTACTATCAATATCTACTTGTTTCTGCTGTCCTGCTATGTATCCATCCGGTTAGAATTAGATTAAAATGCAAAAACGAAAAAAATTACATCTTCTACTTCAATTCATAGACATGAAGTCATAAAAATGGTATCTATGTATAGTGGTATCAAGTTATTAACCAGACAGCTTCCGACAAGTCCAAACCCAAGAAGGTAAAAAAACAAAAGAAAGAAGAGTTGATATAATATTTAATAAATAGAAACACTGAAGTGACCATTGTATCATGTCTCCAGAAGGAAATATCACCCAACGCCACGCTAAGAAGAGGACATGACTCATTCGGAAGAGGAAAAGCGAAAAAAAAAAGGCAAAGAATCATCGTGGCCTCGAGAGAAGGCCGCCGACATCTTGTAGCTCCATGGAGAGGGTGGGCCCGTCGCGCGAGGGTCGATACGGAGGTGCGACAGAGTTAGATGTGTTGCGAGAGTGAGGGATTGTAGGAGGAACAGGATTGAGATTTGTGGGAGTGGTCTCAGGGTGGTTATCTGAGAGCAGCCCGCCGACATCTTGAAGAGTCACGCCGCCTTCACGGTAATCTGTCAGATCGCGGGATTGGGTATTGCGTCTGCCGTGGGAAGCGAGACCGGGCATGCTCGACTGCGCAGGGTCGAGTAGTCCTCCGATGTCGAAGATGGAGAGCCCGCGCGAGGGATGCCGCGCAAGCAGCGGCTTATTGCTATTGCTACTGTGATTGTTGATATTATTGCTGTTCCGTATGGATCGGCTCCTCTCGAGGTACTCGTGCGGACTGACCTTGACGTCCAGGCTATCTGTAGCGGAGACGTCGTCAGTCTCGCCGGAAGGACGACCAGCGGTAAACGACCAGTTCGGGTCCAGGGCCCCTGTGTGTAAGGTGGAGACTGGGCTCGCAATGGACGCGAAAGGCGGCAGACCAGGGGTAGTAGTAGTTGTGGTGGTGGTAGTGGTAGGAGTAGTGTTCGTTTCAGTAGAGTGGTAAAGTTCCGGGTCGAGGCGGATGCCCAGGTCGCCAGCGAGATGGGAGTCACTACCCCACTGGTGGTAGGTGACGGTGGCGCGGCGGAGGGTGCTTTGGTCGATATTCTCACCGACCGAGGCAAAGGCGAGATCCTTTTTGAACTTCTGCTTCTTAACACCGCGGTCTCGGACAAAGGAGCCGATGACGACGGCGTTGGAAACGGCTGTGGCGGCAAGGATCTCTAGCGAAGCCATGAGCGAGCGGTACTGCTGCGAGCCGTCACGCCAGATGACCGAGGGCACGCGATAGCAGGTGATACCGACAAGGATCAGGGAGAGGGCGAACAGCAGGACGAGCGAGACCTTGCGCTTCAGCGCCATGTTGGCGGTAAGGATCATGGGGATGGGGAAAGCAACCAGCAGCAGATCGGTCACCACGTCGCAGGCACCCATGGTGATCAGGTTGGCGTAGCCGCAGCGACAGCGAGGGCCGGGGTCCGGGACGACTTTCCAGTAGTGATCAAAGGGCTGGCACTCGGCGAGGGTGGCGATGACGACGGCCAAAAAGGTCGAAGCGAGAAAGTAGTATATGAAGCGCAAGAAGAGCAGGAGAGACCGGCGCCAGATCATGCCCGAGACGCGCCGCAGAAACTCGCACACGGTATACTTGGCCGTCCAGATGAAGACGGCGTACAGGATGCGCGAGACAAGCACCAGCCGGCTACCGATCTCGCGATGGCGAATGTCCATGGCCGTCAAGCCTGCCGTCTTAGTGTTGTTCGTGCCCCAGAGGAGGATGACATGTACAAACGCCATGCGCGCCAGCAGCGGCACCACGCTCGCCATCATCACCTTGTCCTCGGTGAAGAAACGCTCCGTGCGGACGTACCGCCCACATACTCGCACCGCGATGATGGCTAACGAGAACCCTGTTGCCCACCAGCTCATCAGCAGCGTCGGGTTGTCATCCACCGCTGTTTGGATGTCGGGGGGCTCCGTCGGGCTGAGCCCACCTCGTGCGGCCAGCAGCAGCAGGGCCATCCCTCCGCAAAGGGGCAGTACTGCCTGAAAGCGAGGCACGCAAGCAAGATTCAATCTGATTCCAGTAGATAGATGGGAAACACCGTTTTTCTTTTTTTCTTTTTTTTTTTTTTTTCTCTCACGGACGAGAGACGATCAGGTACCGCAGGCCGTTATCAGTGGGTTTCACATGGCTTCGCGTGGTAGCTAGCACGTGCAATTAACCTAAAAATCAGCATCTACCACAGATTTAAGAGAAAAAAAGCTGTCAGTGTAATATAACATACTCCATAATAAATAGTGGTTGAATAGTAAGGCTGTTCTGTAGATAGCAACTGATCGTGTGACGCTCCGAGGACAGAGTAGGGAGAACAAGGCGAACCCAGCAGCAGTTCATACCAATTATAACAATAATTCTAATAAGAATAATAATAAGAATAGGAGGGCGGCAAGTGTTATCAGCGACCCGACCGGTTGGCTCATTGCGTGCTGGCTTTCTGCGATCAGCGTCTGGTGGAGATAACTAGGTAGCCAAGATCCCTGGTCTCTGAGCTGCGACGGGGAGGGGACTCGAGGAGCTGCCATGGCCCATAGCCACATGCGGGATTATTCGCCTTGTGCCTAATGGAATATTACTAGTTAGCTGGATAGGTCCATAGATAAGGATGGGTCGGTGAGACGTGGTGAGGGGGAAGAATCCACTGGGTGGGAATGGTACCAGGAAGGGCCGGGATTCGATCCAAGCCTGCTTGTCTGATCATTTCGTTGATCTGGTGATTACCTAGATACTAAGGTAGTTAGTTATTCGAGCTCGGTCGATGGACAGATAGGAAGCCTTACGGCATATTCTCGGTTCCTTACTGCGGGTTGGAGATCCGGTGTGTGCGCTGGTTTCAGATTTGGCTGATAGTGACGTCCGGGGCTGACTGTACACCCATGTGGTCTTTGCTTTCTTTTTCTCTACGGCCCAATAATAACGGGCGCAGAGTACAATTTTCCATGGCAAGCAAACTGCGAGCTCGTGTTTCGCGGTATGTCTTATGTAGTATGGAAGCTGGGGACGTTGCCTCGACTTGGGATGAGATTAGGGGGCGGTGGTGTCCGAAAATGGAATAGTTCTATACAACCTATCTATCTAGTATTCTGGACAGAGAAGGACCTGCTACCTATCCCTGTAGTTATCTACCTCCTACCTACAGGTAGGTCTAGTGAAGCCATAGAGTGATCTCGCTCTCAGCCAATCACTTGGCTGGCCTGTTGCTCCCTTATCCTACTCGGCCTTGGCGGACTCGACAGCGACCCCGGCGTGCAGTCGCTGTAAGACGACACGCAGCTCACGCAAGAACCGAGTAACCTCATCCTCCGTGCCGATGGTGATACGCAGACAACCCTCGCAGCCAAGTTCCTTGCCGCGGAAGCGGACGACAACGCCGCGCTTCTCGGCCAGCGCTTCGTATGCCGCCTGCGCAGTCACGTTGCAGGGCTTGCCACCTTCGCTGGCCGGCTTGTCGAGGATCTCGACCAGCAGGAAGTTGGACGCCTGACCGCCGAGGAAGCGACCGATGCCGGGGATCTGCGGCAACTCGGCTAGCACACGGTCGCGCTGCGCGATGATCTGCTCGCGGTACCGCCGCATGACGGCCATGTTGTCTGGGGAGAGGGCGGCCGTGGCTAGCACGCTAGTCGGGCTAGAGATGTTGTAGGGGGCCTTGAGGCTGTTGAATAACGTAGCGATCGGAGCGCTCGTGAACGCGACCCCGAGCCGGATGCCCGCCAGGCCAAACGCCTTGCTTAGCGTCTGCATGACCACCAGGTTGGGCCACTCGGTCACCCACTCCGCCAGACTGGATCCCTCCGGCGCAAAGTCAATGTATGCCTCGTCCACCACGACCACCCCGTTCCACGTCGGGTGCTCCAGCACCTTTTGAATGTCCTCCTTGCGGATCAGATTCGCCGTCGGGTTCCCCGGTGAGCAGATGTACGTCACCTTGATCGAGCTGTCCGCCGCCAACGCCTCGTTGATCTTCTCCGGCTGCAGCGCGAACCCATTCGCCGCGTCCAACGGTACCTTGACGATCTCCAAGTCGTTCACCTGCGCGCTGACCCCGTACATCCCGTATGTCGGCGGGCAGGTCAGGATCTTATCCTTCCCCGGCCTGCAGAAACACCGGAGTATCACATCGATCGCCTCATCCGATCCCACCCCAACAAACAGGTTCTCCGGTCGTAGGTCTTTCTGTGTGTGCACTTTCGTGTTTCGAAGATTGCAGAACAGCTGCTTAAGCTCTATTTGGTGACTAAGACTCAATCAGAATGAATTTATAAAGAAAAGAGGGGGGGGAAGACAGGGGCCAGCAGCTACATACGGATCCGGGTATCTGTTCAGTCCCAAGAAATCAATCGTCGGCCCTGAAGACCCCATCCCGCCGTCGCTGTTCAACGCGAGGCCGGGCCCGTAGGCATTCTCATTGGCATCGAGTAATATATTCGTCCCATCGTCCTTGTAGTCACTGGTTCGTCAGCTTCCCTTCTTCAGAGGACGGATAGTGGGGGAGGGGCATGGGCAAGTCTCACTCTCTTGCACAGCGGTACGGCTGCAGCTGGAGAATGTTCGAGCGGGCGCATGTCGATAAATCAAAGGCAGAAGATTTAGATGCCATTGTAATGTTTCTGTAGGCGCAATGGATGGATGATTCGTCGTACTCTGAAGGAATTCGTCCCTGGTGGCGGGGGAAAGCTTCCCTTTATCTGCGGATTTTCAGGGCGGAAGCGGTGTCGGACTGCGGTAGACGATGAATCATCGTTTGACTCATTCGAGAATCCGATGAAGAATTCTAATTATACGAATAGTTGATGGTATTTATCGTGTTTAATGTCAGAATGTAAGGTAGTTATTCTATATAGTGCACTACCAATGCTAGGATACTCGCTGCCATGTGGTTGTAGCTAGAAATGATATCTTACTCTGGGTATATTAGTAGTATGGCTTCATCTCTGTTTCTATAGTCCATCCACAAGGAGAACCAATATAAATAAATTCAAACTGGTGAATATCGAGTAGAAGAAAAATGACTCAGCTCATAATCAATTAAATACCAACTAATAAATACATACTTATTTCTATAACTAACTAACTAGCATCGCTATTGTCATATGTAGCCAACTAGTAGATAAGCAGATACGTACAATAATAACTACAAAACCTGACACTCTGCCAGGTAATGAGAACCCCCAGAAACGCCTCGGATATGCCTTTTAGATGTCTATTGTCCTTTCCTGCTCAACCATAGCAGATGTTCCACCAAAAGAAGATGAATGAATGGATGTAATCAGCAGACTATTCGTTTTTAGTCTTGCTTGAGCTCCCTTCCGAAGAAGTAGAGGACTGCTGCTGCTGCTGCTCCTCCTCCTTCTTCTTGGAATCCCTGTACTTCTGTCGCTTTTCGCCCAGGTAGCGCCAGGACCGTCCCACGCCCGCAGTGAAGACGCCCTTGACGCTCTCGACTGTGCTAGGCCAGCGGATCGTCTTGGAGATGGACGTCTGCACTTCCTCCTTGAGGTGCTCATCGCTTGCGATCCGCTGCTCAAAGGGCCCGCCTTGGCGCCGCCGGACAATGGACGGATCGGCATCGCTGGCTTTCTGCATCATTTCGTCGAACTCGGAGCGCGGAATGGCGTAGCGTGCTTGGTATTGAAAATAGAGCTTTTCACGGAACGCCTTAGGCAGTCGGCAGACCATATTGCCTCGTTTCACGGGGTCCATATCCTGGGAGAGCCACACATTCACGTCCGGGTCGTCAATCCAGTCTTCTTGGCCACAGCGGGGGTCGTTGAACGTGACGTTTGGCAAGTTGTCGATCAGGGGTGCATATAGCCGTCGGAAGTGGGCCATCTGGCCGGAAACAATGTTGTTGACTTTGCCGGGATCTTCCGCCGGGAGGGCCATGCGCAAGTCTCCCATGTAGCTGATGCTTGCGATCGTGCTGTACAATTGAAATTCCGTGAATCTGGGGGGCAGCAGGAGTAGAGCCACCCGGACAGCCGAGAGCAGGTTGACTTGGTTCGCTAGGCGCACGCTCGGATGGTCCCGTAGAATCTTGACCGGCTTCTGTAACCGCCCAGCAAGGTAGAGCGAATTCCACTGGCTCAGGTCTTTGCACAGCGTGTCTAGGTTGACGACGCCATACTTTATCAGCGTGCCGTTGACGGTCACAAAGGGGTTGAAGTAGACGCCGGCGCCGAACCGGTCTTGAACTTGCGACACCATGTACGAGCCCAGCGAGCCCAATCCAGAGTAATGATCGCGGTGCTGGTTTAGGTTCAACGCATGCCAATGCTGACTGTACGACACACCAAATATAAAGTCGATCATCTTGCCTTTGCCTTGCTGCATGTTCTTGATGGCTGCCGGAGCTGCAGGATGACACTTGTCGGAGCCCGCCGCGCTCCCCGACTGCGCAAAAACACCAGATCCATACGCAAACGCATATCGGATCGGGGCCCGAAACTGCCACAGAATCTGTCGCAACGCCTCTTTGAACTCTTGGTTGATGATCATATGCTGGTTGACTCCAAAGTCCTTCGACGGCAGCTCTGAGAACGCGGAGATCGAAAGGTTTGGGTTCTCATCCCAATCCGCCTCGGCGAGCGTTCGGGAAGTCGAGAAGGATGCATTTGACGACAACGGAGATTCGAGCCCATGGGCATTTTGTGTGCTCAAGGACGAACCAAGACCACTGGCAAGGCTCCCTGGGTGCTTGCTAGCAAACGAGCGGACGCGGCCTAAGGGATGAGAGGACGGTCGACGGGGCAGGCATCTTGAACAAAAACGCGTATACGACCTTTGACCGGCATATAACAGAATCGACTGGTAATGAAAACTCGTCAGATAACCATTTTTCATCATCTTTTTTTTGTGTTTGCGATTCGTTGTCAGACAATAGGCGCGACTTACCGGGACTTCTCGCATGGCGGAAATTCGGAAGTAATTAATAGAGAGTGGAGAGAGCACAGCGGAACAGGCTGCAACAAGAAGAGCAGATCAAACAAACATCGGCTTTCTCAATGCTTCATACCATGGCTGAAGCAAAAAGGAATCAATGCTCTGATGGGAATCGGGGAATTGAAACAATTTTGATTGATGGTCGTCGTCCAGCCTGTCTGACGTACGTCTCGGCCTCGGCCTCGGCCTTTTGGTGACGGTCACGTGAGCAGGCGTTCCCACCCGGCGCGGCATCCAAACAATGGGAGGGGAGGTAAACAACCCACGAGCCGCCGCAGTCCTGCTCTGAACCGCCAGTTCCGTGGTATTTGAGAGGCGATTGCATTGATATCGATCACTTAAGAATTATACCTGTTCTACGGACTGTCTTTTTACGGCGCGAAAGCAGTCGGAATGGATACATTCGCTGCTCGTCTCGCCAGCTTCGATCTGGTGCTGCAGCCGGAGAAGCGCAGGTCTTCGAGCGCAAAGACGGTTAAGCCCATAACATGGCCTCACAGCAACCCTTCTCCCGCCGAGGTACTTAATATTCTGGGTTTTAAATTATGATTTGTTTATTATTGCCATTCTTCTTCAAGATTCTCGTTGCTGATTGACGCGCTTGTAGCTCGCTCACGCCGGTTTCTACTACAACCCCTACGAGACGAACCCGGACAATACAACATGTTTTCTATGTAATCGGGCGCTGGATGGATGGGAGGAGGATGACAACCCGATTACAGAGCATCTGAAACACGCTCGCGACTGTGGATGGGCCGTCATGATGGATATCCAGCAGCGCAGCTCCAACCCCGCCGAGATTGAAGATCCTACCAGCGAGAAAATTGCAGACGCACGGCGATCAACGTTCGGGGAGGCGTGGCCCCATGACGGTAAGAAAGGATGGGTGTGTCAGTCGGAAAAGGTACGTAGTTCCTTTAAAGCCTCGTTGGATCTGCGTTTTGAACTTCACTTCTTTTTTTAACACGATCCTCCACGATCAGATGGTCGAGGGCGGGTGGTATTTCTGCCCTACAGAGGAAAGCAATGATCTAGCCAGTTGCGCCTATTGCAAGTTATCTCTTGACGGCTGGGAGCCCAAAGATGATCCTTAGTAAGTGGAACAGCATTTGCTTTATTTGTTTTGTTTGCGTAGAACTCACCGTGGAAGTGACGAACACTATCGCCGCTCATCTGATTGTTCCTTCTTTGTATTCGCCCGACCGCCGAACAAGAAATTGAAGAGCTCCAAGGCAAAGAAACCTCGAACCTCCAAGGCCTCTCGCCTCTCTACTCAATCTATCGCCACGACGGTATCAGAAGCTGCCGTGGATGTGAACGATATGGCGGATGAAAGCACGACATCTCAGCCCCCTGCTAAAGCGAAACCCTCAAAGAAGACTACGAAACCCAAGGCAAAGAGTGCCAAATCGAAGAAACAGGAGGTCGCAGACGTTGACAGCCAGATGGATCTGGATAGCGTGGACTATCAGCACTCCGAGCCTTTGAAACCCAAGCGGGCCGGCCGGGGGAAGAAGAGACAAAGTGAAGACATGATTGGAGTTGACCTTGATCAGGTGGAAAGGGATATTATCGAGCAGATCGAACCACCGACCAAGAAGAGAGCAACGAAGGCCCGTGTCAGTGTTGTTTCTCAGGAACCAGAGGCGTATGATTTTATCTACAGCCGTGCAGGTTCTCCCGAGCAAGAAGAATCTGTGCCAGAGAAAGAAGAACCGAAAAAGGGCCGGAAAGCTAGCAAGAAGGAAACTTCAAAAAGCCGAAAAGCAGCCGAAACCACTTCTCTCACAAAGCCAGCCCTTATGTCTCAAGAGACGGAAAACATGGAGCTTGATTCTGTGCCCGTATCTGATCGTGAGGGCGAGATGGGCGATCCCGAGCCTCAGGCAATAGATCCCAAGCCCAAGAACTCCGCCAAATCCAAGTCCGCCAAGAAGTCGAAGAAGACCCCCGATGCACATGACAAAGTTGACAATACAAATGAAGAGACAGAACAGCGACGCGAAGAATCCCAGCCCGATGAAGAGCTGGAAGAAGCCGAAGTGCCAGTACCCAAGACCAAGTCAGCTAAGGGGACAAAGCGGAAAACGACCAAGAAGCAGAAAGCACAAGAGGAAGAGAGTGTGCATCCGCTGGAGGAGAGAGTCTCGCTGGAAAAAGATACCCGAGCCACCGCCGATCGAGATTCAACACACCAAGAATCATTTGTGTCTGTCGAAATCATCAACAAAGAACCAGAGTATGAGTCGGATGCAGACAGCCATACCGCTTCGAAAGAATCGCAAAAGAAAAGCCAGTCTGCAGAGAAGAAACGCGGTCGTAAATCGAACCACGCTGCCGTTGATTCTCCTGTACACGCGGATGTGGACATGGCGGAAGCCTCTGAACCCCAAACTGCTCTCGAAGAACCGGAGACTCCTCAGATCGAGGAAAAAGACACCAAGAGCAAGCAGGAACCTCGACGACGAAGCTCAAATATGCCCCCTAAGACTACAGAACGGTATAGTGACATCCCCGAAGAGAAACAGCTCGCCAAATCCATAACGAAGATACGCATTTCCGATGCTAGCATCTCTCGTCATGACGTGAGTCTTATCCCCGAGACTTCAAGCCCCGTGGTGTCACCGCTGGCGGCGCCTGTAGAGAGTACGCCGTCTCGATCACCGCAAGCGTCTGATGCAGAGAACCAGCCTCCCTCGACGCTACAGTACCCTGTGCTGTCGCCCTCGAAAAACCGGACAGTACGCGTTCCATTGGCGGCCAACACACCTTCGCCTTCGAAACGCAACGTCCTCAATCCAGGACGCCTCAAGTCCTTGCACCCATGGATTCCGATCGATATTGAAGAAATCCTGATGGCGAATTCCAGTGACAAGGAAAACATCGATATCCGCAGTCCGCTGCACGGCACGAAGGGAGAGCTTACAAGCCCGGAGAAGAAGATGACTGTCGAAGAGTGGATTTTGTGGAACGCGAAAAAGGGCGAGGAAAAGCTGAAGCACGAGTGTGAGCGACTGGTCAGTCAGTTCGAGAAGGAAGGCGGCAGGGCGATGCGGGCTTTGGAAGGAATCGAATGCATTGATTAAGAATATGAACAGGGAATTGGGTTCAGGAACATGGGAGGTGAGGTGGTGGCGTTGGCAAATATTTCGGTATCTGCGTTGGTTTCATTATTATTGGTACAATGTGCAACAATTTAACGACATGCGTACATATAGCTTATATGCTTCCCGACCTTTTGAATCCCAACCGACGTCCATGTAGTTGAATCTATACACAGTATGTAAACCCCCCCAAACGCCATAGCAATGCGATAAACTTGCAACAGGTATGTAATCCCTTCAAGCAATAATCCCCAGTCGGCCCTCCCAGCTGTCCTCCTGCTTGATCCCGTCCTCACCACCGCCGCCGCCGCCTCTCCGACGCTTCTCGTTGCGCTTGCGCCTGCGTTCCTCGCGCTCCTTTGCCTCAATCTCCTCCCGTTCTTTAAGTCTCTCGCCCAGATCGAGCTGCCACGCGCGTTTCTCTTCTGCCTCGCGGACGCGTTTCCGGTGCGCCAGCATCCGCAGCCGGAGCCGCACATCCTTAAGGGAGGCGCGCACGACCTCGCCGCTCTGGCCCGTTGCGATGAGATGCTGCTTGCTGTTCAAGTGCTCGACGAGCTGCAAGTTATCCTTGAAGGTCAGGTCACAGTCGGCGCAGTAGAAGCCCGCGCTGCGGCCGCGTTTGCCTATCGCCGACCCCGCCGGCACCATCGTCGTCTTGCCCACCATCGAGGCCACATCGAGCCGCTGCGTGCGCGACGTTGTCGCCTCCAGGCTGCTGTAGTCGACGGGCGCATGGTATTTCTTTCCTAACAGCTTCGCTTCGTAGCGGGCGCGGCCTTCCTCCTTGCGCTTGGCCTCCTGGTCCGCCGCTTTCTTTGCGTACTCGTCTCGGTCCCATGTCTTGCGGAAGGCAGTGTCGGACGACGTCGAGGCGTTCATTCTG